GGTTAATAAAGAGAGTCTGAATGGGTCAGAATTAGACCAGAACCAGTGAGAGAAACACAGAAGTGACACAGAACACCCAGAGAGAGAGACGGCACATTTACAGATCCATTAACACTAAGCATGAGTTTTGTGGTGCTTATATATGTCTAGGTAGTGTAGGCTAACTGTTTTGGATTAAAATGTCATAAAAAGGCTGAAATCATAACGTAGTGCAGTGTTTGCATAATCACATATAGGCTATAGCACTTTTTATGAGAAAGCGCTTTTTTTTTGATTTTCAACTTGATTTGCAAGACTCAAAAATTCAGTTTTTGTAAAAAAAAAAAATAAAAAAAATACCTCACTAAAATATGTTTGAAAAAATGTGAAAGCAACAAATTAAGTTGTGTTTTCAAGGTGGAAGGAGGGACAATGGTCACGCCACTCCACATCTGTAAATCTGTAAATCAAAAATTTTGTGAAAAATGTATGAAACCAGCATAAAACAAAGGTTACTTTTCTTGGAACTTGCCACATGTATTTTAAACTAGATTTCTTTAAATATTTCTCCTTTTTATGGACATCCTTATGTTTTATTGACCCATATGTTGGCCTCTTGGTTTGCTCACTTTTCTGCAGGCTTGGGCACTATTCAAAGGCAAATACCGGGAGGGTATCGACAAACTTGACCCACCAACTTGGAAAACACGTCTTCGATGTGCTCTTAACAAGAGCAATGACTTTGAGGAGCTTGTGGAGCGCAGTCAGCTTGACATATCAGACCCCTATAAAGTGTATAAGATTGTTCCGGTGGGATCCAAAAAAGGCAAGGGAGGAGAAAAACATCAAATGACATCAAACAGAGTAGAACAGCTGTTTGCTGCCATTTGTCTTATAAATACTTCTTTAGATATCTGATAAAAAGCAATGAAAATATTTCATATTTAAATGTTGCAGTATCCAGATCTCTTGAAGATTCACAGTCCAATTCAAGCTCACCCAGTTATCCAATACACCCACCTTATCCACCAGCACCATCTCAGGTTAGAATCAAACATCATCTTTGCTTTGGGTGTTCCTATCTTTGCACTTCAGATCACTATTATGTGCTTGTCATTACAGGTGTGCAACTATCTTTCTCCAGCAGACAGAGGATGGAGGGATTACTCCACCCTCTCTGAGATCTCTTACAGCCAGAGCCCCTACACTTCACGCTGGGACCCTGGTACTTTGTGTGTTTGAGAGAGCAAGTACAATTACTGTAAGTTCAGGTAGCATGCAGTTGCATTGACATATTCCTGTATGTGCAGGGTACCAGTTCAGTGGCTCTTTCTACAGTTGCAGTGCATCTGATCCACAGCTGTCACCCTTAACCCTGGACACCAGTATGAGATCTGCTGAGGCTATGGCCCTCTCAGGTACATAATCATAAACACACAGAGACAGTGACAGGCTGGATTGATCTTTAAGTATTGATATTTCTGATAAAGATTTTGAGGATCATCTGGATGATTTCAGTGATCAGATTGAAAAGAAAGTTTGGTGAACTCTGACCTGCGAATTTGTATCACGTGAAGACGTGTGACCAATAGAAGAATGATACATCATGGTGTGTCCTCTTAGCTGAATTAAAAGAACTTTACATGTGGAGCAGACTGCATATTTTAACATTTTTGATATATGTTGAATTATGATTTTTAAAAAGACGAATGTATGACACAGTATGACATCAAATTACAGCCGTTAAAGTGTCTGTAGAAATTCTGTGTGTTCAAAGTCTGGAGTGACTGCTGCTTTATTAAATTGTGTTTAGAAAGATTTGAACTGAGCATTAGATGATGGCAGGTAATCTAAGTGTTTATTTCATTTGATCTCCCTCTCCATTAGATTACCGCTTACATGTGGTGGTGTTTTACCGGGACACTCTGGTGCGAGAGGTAACAGTGAGTAGTCCAGAGGGCTGTCAGCTGGGCCCTAGCAGAGAGGGACAGGCCTACGCTTCACCTGGGGCCCCAGAACTGGTTGAACTCCCTCATGCTGAAGGGGCATCTCTGGAGCGTGGCGTTACACTCTGGATGGCCCCTGACGGGCTCTACGCCCGTCGTCGCTGCCCCTGCAGGGTGTACTGGGAGGGAGCTCACGCACCACCTACCGACAAGCCCAACAAGCTGGAGAGAGAACAGAACTGCAAACTGCTGGACACTCATCTGTTCATAACAGGTTAGTGCATAGTAACATATTCATGTGTAAGGCATTTCAGATAAATAACACTAAGATTTTGACAAACACATGATCTGATGTCATTAATTGGAAAACAAGAAAAAAACTGAAATGTTACTTCATCACTCATCATTTTCAGTAAGCACTGAGAGACATTTATTATAAATCTTTATGCCTGTCTAGTAATTCTCTGTTTGTATACATCATATTTGACATCTCCAAAGATACACACATTTTTACAGTAAACACACACATCAAAAAGCTTTTACAGTAAATAGTGTGTCACATTAGCTGTGGGTTGATATTCAGTGACAGTCACAGAGTCAGTCATCTTTGAGTTGCAACTCACTCACGCCCACCTTCTGTCAGATTCACTGAATGTTTTGATTCTCACAGAACTTTCCAGCATATGATGAATACAACTCAAATACCACAGAAATTACATGTGCCACATTAGACCTAAAGCTCATAGTACTATGGAAAGCAAATAGAAAATGAGAGGAAAAAATGTTTGTCTTACAGAAAGAGATAAGATCATAAACTTTACCCAATGGCTTGAGAAACATGTTCAGTTATTTGCCATTTACAAATAAACACTTTGTAACAAGGATGTACATAAATATTTAAGATTCAGGGTAATAGTTTAAGATTTGGTCATTTTGATTGACCATTAATCTGAATAATCTACCACATTTTATGCAGACGTTCAAAAGTTTGGGGTCAGTACGATTTTTTCTTTTTTGAACGAAATTGACACTTTTATTCAGCAAGGAAGCATTAAATTAACAAAGAGATATTTAAGAGATTTATAATATTGCAAATGTTTTCTATTTTAAATAAATGCAGTTCTTTTGAAATCCTGTAAGATCTTTCAAAAACATAAAACAAAAATCTGATGTATTTCTGATGATCTCACCTGTCATTGGATGTGATTAAAATGTGTCCTCCTCTGTATCTTCTGTAGAGTTGCAGAGTTACACCTTGCACGCTCGTCCTGCGCCATGTTCCCAAGTGCTGCTATTCTTTGAGGATGAGAGCACCGATACTCAAAGACCAAGAAGGACCTTCACAGTGCAGGTACATTTCTTTGGTTCCTTATAATACAGATGAAGTTAGGAACAAAACATAAATGATATTCATGTCATCTTAATTGGCTTTTGTCATCATCTCACAGGTTGAGCCACTGTTTGCTCGCCAGCTTCTTTTCCTCACCCACCCTGGCAGCATGAACTATATCCGCAGCCATGAGCTTTCACACCTGCCCCCTGAACACAACCTCTCCCCGACCCAAGACTACCACAGAGTCATCACGCATCACCATAACAATGGCCCTCAAAACTGACTTTGGCGGCTTGTCACTCCACTCTTAATCCTGGATTAACATCTGGTTTAACCCAGGGTTAAAGCAAGTTTTTATACTGGGTTAAAGGGATAGTTCACAAAAAAAGAGATTCTATCATCATTTACTCACCCTCATGTCGTTCCAAACCTGTATAACTTACTTTCTTCTGTGGAACATAAAAGAAGGTATTTTGAAGAACATTGGGAACCAAATAACCCAGTGACTTCCATTGCATGGTCAAAAAATAAAACACTGAGACATTTCTGAAATGTTATGCTTTTTTGTTCCACAGAAGAAAGAAAGCCATAAAGGTTTACCATGAAATGAGGGTGAGTAAATTATGACGGACTTTTCATTTTTGGGTTAAGCTACTTTCACACTTGTAATTTGCAAAGGGGGTTAGCACCACTTTTAACTCAGGGTTACAAAGCTTTGCTTATGAACACATGATGGACAAGTTCACCAAGTTTCATACTTGTCCAATCAATATGCAAACAGGAATGTTAACCCAGGGTTTAAATATGTACAGTGAAAAATCTCACTTAAAAACCCAGGACTAAGTAATAACCCAAAGTGAAGTTTAAACAGGGTTTAAACAGGACTGTTAACCTTGGGTTAACTGTAAAAATCGCACAAGTCTTGTAAGCTAAAGTGTAAAAGGTAAATGTTGGAATTCTGCTGTGCACCTAGAGCCTTTCGGGACACTAGAACTGAGCTGAATCCCACCAGGATAATCTAGAATGATAACAGACAACATCAAATGCAAGACTGTTGTCATGTTTAATACTGAGAATGATGCAAATCTGTGTAAAACTCACAAGGATGAATGATTGTATTATGTCAATATATGTGTGGGCTGTTTGCTGACATGACAAAAGAATGTAAAGTGTGAATATTAGCTGTGACTGTTTCTTGTTACATTTGATTGAGCTGCATTCAGAATATAAAAATCCAAAGGCTACGCATTTAGGGAAAAAGTGATAACCTTTCAGTTTTCGAATTGCAGTTCTTTTATAAACATGTTTGAGTAAAATTCTGACAAAATGGTCTACTTTTTTATTCTACTACTTTTGTTTTTTTTTTGTTACTGAGATGCTCAAAATGCCTCAAAATTGATGCCACCTTTGGTTTTAATAAAACAGTGAAAAACTGAGTGTATGTGCGCTTGATTCCTGACCTGTACAGGGTAAAAATTACATCTAAATTATTAATCAGCACAACTGTTTTCAATAGTTAACGATAAGAAATTTTTCCACCAAATCAACATAATGCAATGATTTCTGAAAGATCACACGACACTGGAAACTTGAGTAATGGCAATTGCCATCACAAGAATAAATTACATTTTAAAAATGTATTCAAATAGAAAACAGTTATACTAAACTGTAATAATATTTCACAATATTAAAGTTTTTACTATATTTTGGGTCAAATAAGTGCAGCCTTGGTGAACATAAGAGACTTCTTTCAAATACATGAAAAAATCTTAGCTACCCTGAACTTTTGAACAGTAGTCAATCTCAAAATTATAGCGCTCCTTTACTCTCTTTCCACTAATTTTGCTTTGAAGTTAATTTTCACTTCTACTGGAGAGAACTATCTCTAAAACGACAGAAGTGGATGTCATTTGTCTGAGTCTCTCCATCACTGGTGGGCTGACTGTGGTTAACGAAGCTAAGCCTTTGTAAAATGCAAGAGGGGAATACTTTTAGCCCCCACTATAAACACTGGAATCCCCATGAACGTGTGTGGATCTGGTGGGACGACAAGCCCTCGTTTACCTTGAACAGAAGCAATATGTTATCTGCAGAGAATATAAGACAGGGTGTGTAAGCGAATGACAGCACACACACAGGATGGTGTTTGTGGTTTGGAGACAGGATGGTGCGGGCAGTCTTAACTTGGTGACATCACAGAGGAAGAGGCAGGCTGACAGAAGTATTATTTATTCTTTCTTCTCAATGAAAACAGCCAGAATGTCTCATTGGTTGTTGTTTTGTTGCCCTGAAAGCTATAATGAACTATGTTGTGTACGACGTAAAATTCTGATCGGCCTATTTTCTTTGAAAAGTAACTAATTAGGTCAAAAGGTCTTGAAACTATGCTATAGTATGGGATTGTTAGCTTTGGGATGCATGGGACATCCTGAGAAACTTTCGAGATGTTTTACATAAACAAAACTTCTTCGAGTTTTCCACTGTTTATGGACTCACGGCTCTACATTAGCACATAAACATGTTTTGGATCATTTTCCTCTGCCTACAGAGCGGAAAGGTGCAATCATTACAAACTTCCCTTAAGCTGTACAGCCTGAGATCAATACACCCACTCTTTCACCTGGTGCCGCACGAGGCTTTGATGCTGTTCTGTCAAATTGCTTCCCTTAAATGAGTGGGTGTCAAGCGTTCTAAATTTAGAAGAATAGATATCAACAAACAACACTGAGTGTTGGGAAAATAACGGAATGAGTTATGATGAGACAAAAGTAGAAACAAATATTCAGATCATTGTGGAGAGTTTCTGATGGCATGTTGGCAGCCTGCGAGAACTTTCAACTCATCTTGTTTTCTAGTCAGTTATATCTTAAACTCCTAAACCACATGCCAATGCTGGGTTACACAGCATTTAATAGCAGTTTACAGTAAAGGACACCTTCCAATACTGAACACTTCCTCCTGGGACAGGTAAAATTACCCCCATATTGCCGAGGAGGGGCAGGGTGTGCATCTTTCCGTCTGACACTAGACAGGGTGTGTGCATGAATCGCTGACGTGTGGTCATAATAGACTTCAACACAAAACGACTCTCTTGATAAAAAGAGTCATTTCAGAACTCAACAGTTTCCTCTACTAACTAAGAGGAAAACTCACTCTCACACACACAAAAACATATATCTTGCAATTACTCTAGCAACTGTCTTGCATATTAACATTTGCAGAAAACCCACTGCGCAAGAGCACAATTTTATTTAGGCTTTTAATGTGCATCTGGACAAAGAGGCAGTGCAACTTTTCAGATTAATGAGCCTGTTAATTATCAACAGGCCACTCACTACATGCTCACAAGAAAACAAGTGTAATTCAGCAAGTAGAAAAGGGTATATTAGTGGCACTAAATTGACTTTTAATGGTTCTGAATGGTTTTTAAAACTGAAATGGTGTCTTAGTGTTACAACTCAGAGGCGCTGTTGAAATGTTGGGGATTTGTGAAGGCTTATCGCTTCACAGGCTGAAAAGAGGCAGGCTTGAAGCAATTAAGCTGTAGCTTCATACTACTCTTAAACTTATTCAGTAGCTCCTCCAAGAGTCTGAGAAAAAAGAGAGAGATAGAGATGTATTAGAAAAAAATGGAAACTATTAAACAAGCCAAATTTACCATCAATAAACAAAATGATCACTAAACATCTGTACTTATTTTAAACATGTCTGATATCTGTACTTATTGCAATATTGTGCCAGGACAATCTGCTCAATTCTTTAAAAAAAAAGATTTCTATTTCAAATAAAAGCTGTTATTTTGAACTTTCTATTCACCAGAAAATCCTGAAAAAATGTGTCATGGTTACCACAAAAACATTAAGCAGCTCAACTGTTTTCAACTGATAATAATAATAAATGTTTCTTGAGCCGGAAATAAGCATATTAGAATGATTTCTGAAGGATCATGTGACGCTGGAGTAATGGCTGCTGAAAATTCAGCCTTGCCACCACAGGAATAATTTACATTTATTTTTAAAAATATAAATTGACAGTAGTATTGATGATAGTATAATGTATGATAGTATAAATGTATTTCGATCAAATAAACACAGTATTTGGTTATCATAAGAAACCTCTTTCAAAAACATTACCAACCCCAAACTTTAAATGTTAGTGTATGTGTTAAAAATATGTAGTTGCTTTAATGTAAAAGTAAAGTACTTTTTATTATTATTTTCAGTTATATCTGGTAATGTATTTTCTCCATAACAGCTATAAATTCATAAACACACTCTGGCTGGAAAATGATGGCATACGATCCAAAACATTACTGATCGGTTTAAAACTTTCAACCCATTCAAATGGATGCTTCCAAGTCTATTACAAGTCATTTGCACTTTAGTATCTTAAGGCAGCCCACTTTGAATGCAAATCAATCACTATGGAATCTGCTTGCCCAGTAGTTTTAACAGTTTCATACCTTGAAGTGATATATATATTATCAGGACTTGCTCAGTGATTTATGATTTACACCCCCAAAGTGGTCAATCGCATGGCAATTAATCAATAGCATGTGAGACAAATTTAAATACCAAGAAGTTCCTTTCAGATGACTGTTACATCTGGACAAATCAGACACACAATTAAACAGATCATTGGTCATTGTGTGTATTATTACTCTTCTTGTATATTGTATACTGTTTTATGCATGCTTATGATAGTACCACTAGTTAGTGTAACCTCACCTATACCACGTTTGGTATCTATGAATTCGTGTTTTGATGATCTAAATGAGATATATATTATATGTTGATACCTATGCAACATATATGTGTTCTAAGAATCTTTAATCGTTTTTGCATCAGCACCCAATCCAGTTACATATGCAAAATACCATGTTCGAAGACAAAGAGTCGTGAACTTTCCCTCCTAAAGTTTAAGTCACCATTGGCTCACTGACCCCCTGGAGCTGTGACCTCCATAGAAATTAAAAGGCCTCACTACATCAGGGAGGTCACTGATGTAGTGAGGCCTTTTAATTTCTCTTAGATCTTCATCTTCTGCTTCGTCTTCTGGTTGCCGCTCGTGTGGGACTCATTAAGTCCCAGGGCCTCGACTACAGCCATGTCTTCACTTTTCACCTGGGAGAAAACTCTCCTGACCGCAACAGACTCAGAATAACATCTTTCAAGTTCATCACTCTACAACCCGGAAGAATCTGATCGCAACTTCAACACCACCAAACCATCAAGACTTTCATCTGAGACTGCATCCGGATGCTCGTTCAACGACCAAGGCAATGCAAGTATCGTACATTTAAAAAATAAAAAAAAGTGAAGTGAAAGTGACTTGTGGCCAAGTATGGTGACCCATACTCGGAATTAGTGCTCACACACAGCAGTGAACACACACACACACCCGGAGCAGTGGGCAGCCATTTTTGCTGCGGTGCCCGGGGATCAGTTGGGGGTTCGGTGCCTTGCTCAAGGGCACCTCAGTCGTGGTACTGAAGGTGGGAGAGAGCACTGTACATTCACTCCCCCCACCTACAATCCCTGCCGGTACGAGACTCACCAATATAACTATATGACTATAACTAAATGAAACGGAGGTTTAGTATAAGCTGTAGACCCTATTGCAAAACTGATGGTTTCTGCTCAAGTGGTTAACTGACCCATTTTCCATAGCTGCACTCTCTGGTTTCTCAAACGGTTTCATTCATCCACTTTAACTTCCCGGTGTATGTATTTGTGAGTTTTTGATTCTGTCACTGCATGCAGATCAATGTCACTTAAATGATTCCTGATCTTGCTACATGCTCTATTGCATTAGTACTGTAAGAAAGTTATTTTCTGTGGCCAGAAAAATAACATTTCTTAAGAGTTGACAGATTAGTTGATTGTAATATCAATTCTGCTACAGTTACTACTAGCAGCTGATATAAATAATTATAATCAATCTTAATTAATTGTAATTATTTATATAAATGTCCATTTTGAGCTAATTTGCTACGTGACTGAACCAAACAAGGTAACTTGGACAAGTCATGTCATGACTCGTGGTACTGAAGGTGGGAGAGAGCACTTTACATTCACTCCCCCCACCTACAATCCCTGCCGGTACGAGACTCACCAATATAACTATATGACTATAACTAAATGAAACGGAGGTTTAGTATAAGCTGTAGACCCTATTGCAAAACTGATGGTTTCTGCTCAAGTGGTTAACTGACCCATTTTCCATAGCTGCACTCTCTGGTTTCTCAAACGGTTTCATTCATCCACTTTAACTTCCCGGTGTATGTATTTGTGAGTTTTTGATTCTGTCACTGCATGCAGATCAATGTCACTTAAATGATTCCTGATCTTGCTACATGCTCTATTGCATTAGTACTGTAAGAAAGTTATTTTCTGTGGCCAGAAAAATAACATTTCTTAAGAGTTGACAGATTAGTTGATTGTAATATCAATTCTGCTACAGTTACTACTAGCAGCTGATATAAATAATTATAATCAATCTTAATTAATTGTAATTATTTATATAAATGTCCATTTTGAGCTAATTTGCTACGTGACTGAACCAAACAAGGTAACTTGGACAAGTCATGTCATGACATTTGAGCTCAGCTCTAATTATCATCATCTCTGATGACTAACATTTGTTTAAATGTTAGAGTTTTTCAGTGTGAGGTATAACATTCAGCATGTATTTGACTGAAACTGTGATAACTTACTTCTTGTCAGCTCCACTCTGTAGCTGTGGTAGAGCTTCCAATGCCTGCTTAAAACTAGTGCTGAGACACAGAGGAGACATATGAGACAACATCACACACCCACATTATCATACTAACACTTTTTGGTTTTAATTGTATTAAGACATCTGTGTTGAACGTGTTTATGACTTACAGACTCTCTGATGTGAGGTACAGCTCTATGGCGTCTCGCAGTGCACAGATTTCCAGACGTGCCTAGAGAGAGAAACATTAATGATGGTGAAAAATTATGATGTGGATTTCAACACCTTAAGATCAAATGTTGACTGTCCCGATGACTTGTACCTGCAGTGCACCGTTTTTACTAAAGGAGGACACACACTGCATCAGACGGCTCATTTCTTCAGCTACAGCCTCAATGATCTTTGATAAAACACGAGAAACCAGCTCCTTGGAAACTGTGAAAACCTGAAAGAGCAAAAAAACACACAGATTCTTTGAGACTGTCTATTAATTTCACCAATATGTTTTTAGATATTAATGGCTGCTGAAAATTCAGCTTTCCAATCACAGGAATAAATTACATTTTAAAATACAATGAAATAAAAAATATAAATTTTGAATTGTAATAATATTTCACAATATTGCTGTTTTTTTCTATAGCACAATAAACAAATAAATACAGCCTTGGTCAGCTTAATACTTAATACTCCAAATACAATCGGAGATATATTAAAAAAATGTCCAAGCTTTATAACAGCAGTGAATGGGGGTTGAGATTTTGAAGCCCAAAAAAGTCTCTGGGCGGTTAATAAAGGCCTTCTGAAGTGAAGCGATGTTTTTGTGTAAGAAAAATATCCATATTTAAAACTTTATAAACCGTAATCTCTAGCTTCCGCTAACTGTCGTACGCATGTTCACTAAAGAGTGGAGCTCCAGTGGATGCCGTAGGATGTAGGCATAGCGTAAGCTCTGGTGAGAAGTGTTCCAAACTTGGAAGCGCAGCGGAGAGAGCAAAACAAAACACCGGTCATGAATTAGAAGTACAGAGGATTTTGATATAAGCCAAGAGGAGACCTTCCTTTCTGTAAACAAAACTTGGTTCTCACGAGACTAGCATATTCTCATCGGAGCTTATGCTACGCGTACTTCCTACGTCATCCGCTGGAACGCCACTCTCTCGTGAATGCGCATACGACAGTTAGTAGAAGCTAGATATTACGGTTTATAAAGTTTTAAATATGGATTATTTTATTACACAAACGCATCGCTTCGCTTCAGGAGGCCTTTATTAATCTCCCGGAACCGTGTGGAGTACTTATCATGATGGATGGATGCACTTGTTTGGGCTTCAAGATCTCAGCCACCATTCACTGCTGTTATAAAGCTTGGAAGAGTCAGGACATTTTTTAATGTAACTCCGATTGCATTTGTCTGAATGAAGAAAGTCATATACACCTAGGATGGCTTGAGGACAAGTAAATCATGGGGTCATTTTCATTTTTGGGTGAACTATCCCTTTAAGAAATGTTAATTAAAAACTGTAACCAACCCCTCAAATAGTAGTGTATATTTACAGCTGACTGTACGTTTCGTCATGATTTTTTTTGTCCACCAAGCTTGTCACATTGAATTCTGGGATTGTCTTATCCACTAAGACAACATGTGATGCTGTTTTAGAATTTGGCCAAAACAAGGTACCTTATAATGAAATGCACTGTTGCTGCTTACTTTTTAGAATTGAAAGTGTAAACATAAAGCTTTTAAATGCTGTCTATGTAAAGAGCTCACAAGGTTTTGGAACAGAAAAGGTGGCATTCTTAAAGTTTAAGATGTCTAACAGAGCATCTTTTAAAGCAGATGAGCGATTTGTCGAACTGAAGGTTTGAGCATCTCACCTCAGCATGAACAGAGATGATGCTGACCAAAGCCTCCTTCAAATAACTCCTCACACCTGAGTCAGAAAGAGAGAAAGGGAATGAGAAAAGGTAGATCAATGAGTCATGTTCATGCTTTTTAAGGTTCAAGAAAGGTTTAAACAGGGGGATAAGGAACCATCTGAAACGTAGAAGGTGAGAGGAAAATCTTATCAGCTTCTCTTCACAAGTATGACATGGTTTTGCCTAGTTGTCATAAATGTTATAATTAAGACACGTTGTGTGTGTGTCCTCCTTCCTCCATACTGAGGTCAAGCAAAATCATCCCCTTCAACATATCTCAAATGTTTACAGTATGTTTATTTACTTTCTTTGCACTATTAAAGTAATCACTTCTTGAAACAACCAATCTTGTATTACCAGGATAAAAAATATTTGCTCTGTAAGATTTGATATTCTATAGCGTCATAATTATTTTATGAAAGAGATTATTTCACTACAGTTCAAAATTTTGGGTCAGCAAGATTTGTTTTGTTTTGGAGACGTCTCTTATGCCCACCATGGCTGCATTTATTTGATCAAAAATACAGAAACATTAATATTGTGAAATATGATTACAATTTAAAGTAACTGTGTTCTATTTAAAATGTAATTAATTCCTGTGATGGCAAAGCTGAATTTTCAGCAGCCATTACTTCAGTCTTCAGAGTCACGATCCTTCAGAAATCATTCTGATATGCTGATTTGGTGCTCAAGAAACATTTCTTACAGATATCAATGTTAAACAGTTGTGCTGCTAAATATTTTGTCGAAACCATGATACTTTTTCAGGATTCTTTGATGAAATTGCTATGAACAGCATTTATTTATTTGAAACATAATTTTTTGCAACATGTCTCACCGTCACTTTAGATCAATATAATGCATCCTTGTTGAATAAAAGTATTAAAGGGATAGTTCACCCAAAAATGCAAATTCTGTCATTTATTACACACCCTCATGTAGTTTCAAACCCGTAAGACCCTCGTTCATCTTCGGAAAACAAATTAAGATATTTTTGATGAAATCCGAGAGCTTTTTTGACCCTGCATAGACAGCAATACAACTGAAACGTTCAAGGCCCAGAAATGTAGTAAGGTCATCGTTAAAATAGTCCATGTTACGTCAGTGGTTCAACCTTAATACCTCATATGATGCCAACCCTCAGACAACATACAAAACTACCAAATTTTGCTATAAGTTTGATTGCAACATATAATCATTGCTGTTAATAGTGTTCAACCTCTGTTTGATTACATGTCATTAACTAACTGCTTGATTTTTACCGTGCATTACTGCCATATGGACATCAACTTGAGATAGTCACCACTGATAAGCTATTACTAAATATAATGTAGAAACTTTAATTTTCTGTAAAGCTGCTTTGCAACGATTTGCATTGTGAAAAGCGCTATAAAAAAACTTGAATTGAATTGAATTAATATTATGAAGATACGAGAGTCGTCATTTTTGTTTTCTTTGCGCACAAAAGCTATTCTCGTAGCTTCATAAAATTAAGGTTGAACCACTGATGTCACATGGACAATATTAATGATGTCCTTACTACATTTCTGAGCCTTGAATGTGGTAGTTGCGTTGATGTCTATGCAGGGTCAGAAAGCTCTCGGATTTCATCAAAAATATCTTGATGAATGAAGGTCTTACAGGTTTGGAATGACATGAGGGGGAGGAATTAATGACAGAATTTTCATTTTTGGGTAAATTAATCCTTTAATAAAAGTATTTAAAAAAAAATCTTATTTATCCCAAACTTTTGAATGGAAGTGTACATTCATGTGTAATAATATCGGTTTGTCTATTTTGGAGATAAAGATGATGAACTGATTGGGAGTTAAATCGGAGCAATTGCGAAGAAAAGTAGGTTTTACACAGTTCAGCAAGTTCTTCTTATAACATCTCAGAAGCAGGAAGCTTGTAAGTTCACAAATTATTCACATAACCAATAGCATGTAGTCAAGTATGCACCAACACACCCAATCAATATACACACACACTTTACCATAACTGAAACTGACATAAAAGCAATGACGGCAGACTGAAACTGCAGATTCAAGACAAGCAAGTGTTTGTGGATCTTTCTCTATTAGCACCATCTCCAGGTTGATGGTGTTTCAAACAGACAATGTCTTCTAGAAACGTCCAGAGTGTTGTCAACATACAGATTACATGATTGAGGTGTGTGTTACCTGTAGGTGGCAGGCAGTCTTTCCAGTCAAAGTATCCGGCATAGATGCCAGGCTCCAGAGAGCCGACGATAGGATCAGATTTTTTATCGATGTACGTCTCAAACAGATATTCATCCAGCTGTCTTAACGCCTCTATGCTGACCTGAAGAACAAGAGCATGCATTCAGTTTAATTACAAACCACTGATCATACAAGATTCTCTCCTGAAACACAGAAGTACATGTGACCATAAGAAACCATTAACATCACACACTTCTTGCAGAATGAGTAGAGACCACTCATGCATGTCCATCATTTTGATGTGTGTTGAACTTTAGGGAAGTCCTCAAAAACCAGAATGGAAAGCACCATCTCAAAAGGGGACAAAATCTGTGGGAACTCTGTGAAACACCAGAGATGGACATCTGTCCTGACAGATGAGTGTCAATCTTCACTGAGAAGCAGTCCAAATGTTGTTACATATTTTTAACTAGACTTTTATACATTTTAAAGAAAATGAAAGAGCCTTGTCCATGCAATTTGTGATGCTTTAGAGTTGTGCATGGTGCATGGAATTTTGTTATTTGTTGTTCGGAGTGTTTTATTGTGTTGCTATGCAGTTCCTAAAGGGTCCTTGGTGCTTTGCTAGGGTGCCATTTACTGGGCCAAGTCAAAAGAGCCCATCTCTATGGATATTCTGAGTCCTGGATTTTGCTCCTTTTAAAAGTCCACCTGGCAAAACATTATCTACAGTCCAGACCGTTCATAAATAGCACAGTTCTTCTTAAGCTGATTTAAGGCCTCTTACCTGAATGCTGCAAAAAAATGATTTTCTAGCTCAATATATATATATTTTTTCCAGTACAAATATCTAAATATATTTAATTAAATCACTTGAGAAGCAAAATGACATTAGATGACAAGCCCTGTTTCCTGAAAAATGTATCAAAATTCTACACTTAAAACATGAAAAATAAGAAAATAAACTTTATTTTATTTAAGTTTAAGTTTATTTTTCTTACCCGATTTGCAGATATTTTTTTCCTTGTTTTGTGCATAAAGTCACTTAATTTTGATACATTGTCCAGAAAACAAGACATAATAAACTTAATTTTGCTTCTTAAGTAAATGTATACTGATTTAAGAACGTTTAGATATTTTAAGCTAAGTTAAGCTAACGGTCATTGTCAGTGTAAACCATTGTCAGAGTCACTTTATGATCATGTAATAAACCTCTCCTGTGAGTTATCAAGCTCTTATTCAGAGTTAAATCTCTCTGAAAGGTGCAATGCAGAGTATTCTCATCATACTTTATTGATCTACACAAACCCGTTGAGCCCAACACACTCATTCACTATGATCTGCATCGAAACCATCTGTATTTACTGGAAAGGCCAACCATAACCTTTCATGAGGGCTTCACCCTCTCCTCTGTAGGGCACAAAAGCCACCTTAAGTGAGTGTGTTGTAATGCCACCATGAAAAACCCTTGAGCTTCTCCTCAATCTACATGAGTCATTCTCACTTCAGTAAAATATACATAAATTACCACACTTGGAAACACATCTGTTATCACTTAGAAAAAAGAAAATGCCAACAGTGGACTGGAGTAAAAGGGAAGTGTGCATGTGTCTTTGTACCCTGATGATCTTCTCTGCAGTGGTAAAGCCGTTCTTCTCCAGGTGCTCAGCCAGATTGAGAAATGTGTGTCTCTCCAGATACTGACAGTTACTGAGGATGATGAGACGTTGCTCCTACATGAGCCAGAACAAACACACACACAGCAACTGAATCAGTTACAATAAACATATATATATATATATACGTATCTAGAGAGAGATTTTTTTCCCTGATACATTAAATTGTAATGATTAGAGTGATTTAGAATGATTTCTGAATGATCATGTGACACTTAAGACTGGAGCTTTGCCATCACAGAAATAAATAAAATTTTTAAAAAATATGTTCAAAAAGAAAACAGTTATTTTAAATTGTAATAACATTTCATATAATGACTGTTTTTACTGTATATCTGATCAAATAAATGCAGCCTTGGTGAGCATAAGAGACTTAAAAACATTTTTAAAACATCCTACTGACCCCAAACGTGTACATTTATATACACTTGAACAAGAAATAGTCTGACAGTTTGTGAAGCAGTACTATTACAGGTATGATTGGGTATGTTTTGTGCCTTAACCATAAACCAGTCTGTGAAGAGGAGAGAGAGTAAAACAGAGAAAGAGAGAGACAGGGGAAACCTGCAGCTCTTCCACTGCAGGCTTGGGGAAACCCCATGGCTGCTGCATTGTGCTCTCTGAAGAAAAAGCTGCTGTTTTTCACAACATATGACTCTTGTGCGTGATATTCAGATGTTTGCTGAGTTGCAGATGGAAACTGTGACAAAAGCATCCATAACGGAACACAGGATGTTTTCTTGGGAAAAGGGTTCTTAAGAACTAATAAATAACACACACACAAAAAAAGACAGTGGCATTTGAGGGCAATTTTTTTTTTTCCACTATTTGACTAAAATATTAAAAGTGGCATTTATTTGAAATATAGTGCAAATATTTTAACCAAAATGTCATGTTTCAAATTACAAACCAACATTATATGTATAGTTCAACATTTGCACAAAAAGTATTTGCATACTTTCTGGTTGTCAAATGTTAGTGGAACAAAGTGGTTCATAGTGATGAACTATACCCATGGCTGCTCTGCTAGGACACCTGTGCAAACTTAAGGGAACTGACTTAATATGAACACTAAAAATCCCCCTTCATGACTAGTTAGTTGTAAAAATAAGTGCAAATATATAAAGAAATGCCTAAAAAAAAAAAACTGAAGTTTGTTCGTCGATGATGTCTAGCATAATGTCTTTTACAGATGCCAATTTATTTTGATATTTTGTATCTAAAGTAAAGGCCATTTTAAATCTAACTTAAGCATCAGGAAGGGCCAAATATGCTTTGGGGTCACTGTAAACTCTATTTGTGTGGTTTAAACTTTTATTCAAGCACATGTGCGTGCACACACACACACACAGCATTACTGAATAAGCACAAAAGAAGGGTTTAAATGGAGGGAGGAAGCACTCAAGGTTACTTGAGGTCTCTGAATATCTTCAATTAACAAGGCTTCGTTTTGATCATGTTTAAACACACTCTCTCTCTTTTTCTCAGTCTATCAGGTTTTCAGCTTTCAGTAGTACTCTGACACTGTGGTTCAGATACTACACATCAACACAGTGTTATTTGGATTTCAGTCAGTGACAAATCATTTAAAATAAAGTGAGAAGCTGAACATGTCAGAGTAGCATGAAGGCAGCTGTTATCTACACTCACTTCCTATTCTCTGTACTCAAATATCCTGTCGCATAGTGACATCCACCTCTGCAGTTTACTGTGAATAAAATACCACATAGGGCTACTTGATGTAGTAACCAGCTAACCAGTCTACACATACTGCATTTTATTTATGTGGCCATTTTTTGACATTTTATTGACAGTGAAAGTGGATTAACAAAAAAAGTCAAGAGGGGGGAATGTAATGAGTATCCAACGCAAGTCAGATTCAAACCCGCATCTCCCATATGAGCACCACAGCTTGATGTACTAACTGCTAGGCCACAATTCATATTTATTTTATATGATTAATAAAATTATCTGCATGTATATTATACCTCACAGTACTCTTTTAAATATGCATTATTTGTGTGAATAGAGAGAAAGAACATGGACAAAGTTGGAAATCAGGAGGGGAGGGGGGAAATGGCCTTACTGGTTTTGAACCGAAGTCTTTTTGGATGCCTCCAAAAAGATCAGGCGACGCCAAGTCCACAGACAAACTGAAAGAGAAAAACCTTGATATTATACTCCCACTGTAAACTTAAACATTCAGACTAAACATTATATATATGGCTCAGTGATGCACATTTTTGCCTGAAAAAAATGTGCATCACAAAAATGAAAAATTCAATAATAAATTTTTTTTTATTTTTATAAAATATATTTTTACAGAACTTTACACCACTTGATATTTTTAGAGTTATTAAATCAAAATTACTGTTGAAAAGGTATATATATAATATATTATATATAATATATACAATAAAACTCACTGAGAGGTGCCAATTTCTCCATCAGTCTTGGTGCTGAGATGCTCAAGGCACTTAATAAAGACCTATACCAAGCAGAGACATACAAATTATTTTTATTCAGCATGGATTATATTTACAAACGCCAACATACACAGAAACCAGAACACAGTACCTTCATGATAGAAACACACTGCTCACAAGCTTTGTCTTGAACCACATCCAGATTAAAGATCTGAGAACAAAAAGACAGACACACATAAAACTGATTACGCTCCATATAATCTGCAGTGGAAGGGCAGAGGATGAGTGTCGTGTGAATATTTGTACATTGATCTCTCCAGGTTTACATTCCATGGGCTCCTTCAGAGACTGCAGCATCTGAACCATACACTGCTCAAACTGGGCCGGCTGAAACAGACACACCATTTATCCTTAAGTTTTTGATTTTCAAGTTTTTAGAATGAAATAAACCAGATAAAATATAATAAAAGCATAAAACATATACCAGTGACGTGATTCCTTCATTGTCCACAACCCAGTCTTCTTTTTCTGCAAGTCTCTTAACGTCTAAATAACACAAAGTTTAATCAATATTAAATAATCAATAACATTAAATCAATACATTAGAAACTCACTTCTCCCATTCTCTCAACATCAGTATTAAGGAAACTACTTTAACTGGGAAAGCTAGTTTTTTTAAAAAGTATTTGGCTATTAGTTATAACAAAAAAGTACAAATTTACAGTAAAATACAACTACAAAACATCCAAACAGAGTCAAAATCCTAGTGATAGACAGTAGAATTTAAGTAGTAATTTAGAATTTAGTAGTATTTTGCAAAAAAAGAGAAGATGCAGGGTTTCCGTGCAATTTTGTGAGGTTTTGAAATTATCTGAACAACTTTGGCTACTAAAAATTTAGTTTTTAGATGTTGACTAGCTAGTATTCACCAATTTATCTATGGTTAATTCTGTGAATTAAACTTTAGTTCACTAGAGCTGTCTTGATAAAACCCTAAAATGACTAATAAGTTGTTTATACTGAACTTGAATGTGAATATATTTAGTTGAGATCTCTAGAGCTCCCTCTATTGTTTTCATCTGGAGCAATCAACATCAGTGATAGACTGATATATCGGTCAGTCCATCTTGAGATGATCAGTGTTGACCAATAACCTTATCTGCAAGGCATTTTAAGCAAATATTCTGTAGAATAGTTCAGCAATCTCATGCCATTGTTTGCCTGAAATGAAACCAAGACATTTACAAAAGCGTAAATGTGAATGTGTAGTTTTACCCTCTTCAGTGTGCTGTAGTGTGGTCAGCAGGCAGTGCACACGCAGGTCCTGAAGTAAATCCTGAATCACCTGCAGCAAGTCATTAGGAATCTCTAAAGCTGACAGAGCTTCATGACTTAACCTAAGAGAGAAAATCAAATGAGTTTTATATGAAAATACAAGGAGAGGATGACCATAAATCATTCCTACTAAGGATGTACTGAAATTTCTGCCACTGAATGGGAAAAAAAGTCTGAAAATGCCAACAGAAACCAGTACTTAAACATTTAATAACAGCATCTGTGACATAAAAAACAGCAGCCCACAGTTGCAATGATCCTAGTTTAGCTGGATCTAATGTAAATATGAAGGATCATGATGACTGAATTAAAAAAAAAAAGGTTTTACGTTTCACGTTTACATGAAACAGATGAACACCACAGCACAACAACCTTGCTTAAAGGGATAGTTTACCCAAAAATAAAAATCGTGCCATCATTTACTCAACCCTTAACCCTTAATGACTGACTTTATTTTGTGCAATATAAAAAAAATACATTTTTAATAATGTTGGTAATCAAACAATTTTGGCCATCACTGACATCCACTGTATGCACAAAAAACACACAGAGACTTTTGTTTTCCACAGAAGAAAGAAAGCCGTGCAGGTTTGGAATGACATGATGGTAACTAATGATGACAGAATTTTCATTTCTGGGTGAACTATCCCTTTAAGTCTACAGAAGAGTATGCAATTAGCAAATTTGTTTTTGGCTATGAATTTTCATTTTGACTGACTACTAATTGCTACATTTCTACTTCAAACTCCCTCACATACCTGACGGTGTGGATGACCTGAGTGAGCCAGGCTCCACGGAGAGGGGTTTTGGTGTTCCAGCCTCCATACTGCCTCAGCTGCTGCTCAGTAAGTGAGGAGGGTAACAGAGCCCCTCGAACCAACTGCACCAAACGACGGGTCACCTCCTCAATCATGCCCTAAACACAATCAATTGTGCCAAACCCATTATGCAAAGAAAAAAGCCCTTTCCAAAAATAACGTTTATTTAATAATCAACACTCAAATAAAAGCTAAAAGAGTTGTACTGTATATAAACATTTCAATTGCACAAAAGGCGATTTTTATATCAACTTTGTAATTATATAATTATGTTTCTACTCTAATTTGTTGTTGAAATATAAAAATTTAAATGGTGACTGTATAAAAACTTGATTTCAAGACAACAGGTTGAGTAAATATAAATATTGTGCCTTTCAACATATCTACTGATGTTAGTTCATGCTTATTCCGATCTTGGTTAATCAAAATGAAAATCAATTAAAAACTAGAAAGTTACTTTTATATCTTCATATTGTCAAACCAGCCCTAGCATCCACATGGCTGACATGTTCACCTGTTATGTGCACGAAACAGACACTTGACAGTCAAAATGCGCAATGGAGGAAATTCAGATTAAACATCAGTTTCGGTCAATGATTTCAGCCCTCTATACAGTTTCAGATGAAACTGAAAATAAATTTTTGGGCCAAATATTTTCAGTTTCAGAAATTTTGGTGCATCACTACTCTTAAACCTTAGTGGCTCATGCACACACTCTTAATCTCCAGACTACAAGCACAAAACCATTCCAGCTGCTTTACTGACCTTAAAGTCATTCTGTCTTTGCCGGGCGTTCTTCTTTAACTTCTCCACCTGACCAGACTTCTCTCCCGTCTGTCCAAGACAACAGTCAACAAGATTCAAAGAGTGTGTTTGTAATCAAAACATGATTACACTAGCCCTTGTTTCTAACACTTCTGAGTATATTTGTCCATGTATCTACCTCACTGAACAGGCTGCCGTTGACGTAAGAGATCCACAGTTTCCAGAAGTTGGGCAGCTGGCTGATGACCACGTCTGAGAGCTTCTCCACAAACCTCACCTGCTGAGGGCTCTTATAGTGCCACGCTGAGAAAATATGTATGATATAATGTTATGAAGACAGCAGCATTCTGCTTCTGAAATGAAAGCAGCTGACAATGAGATTTCTACGAGTTTCACAACTCATGCTAACTAGGTGCAGTTTCAAACATCAAATAATTTTTTACCTTACTGAAAGCGAAATTCTGCACAAAGCAACAAAATCACAGCAAATCAGAGCATTTTCCATAAATTATATACAGATATACATTATTGCATATCTGTATATAATATTTGTAAGATTTTGTAATTGTTTTTGAAAGAAGTACCTTATGCTCAACAAGCTCAAAAAGCAGTAAAAACAATTATATTGTAAAATATTATTACAAATTAAAATAACGGTTTTCTATTTTAATATAATTGAAAACATACTTTATGCTTTTGGTGCCAAAGCTGAATTTGTCAGCAGCACATGACCCTTCAGAAATCATATTTTATATGTTAATCATTCTGTTATTGTACTCACAGTCATCTTTAGGTGTCTGGAAGCTGCCTCCTCTCTTCACTGGAGCTGAGAGGCTGATCCTGTTCAGAGCTGAGGAGCGATCCAGCTCTAAATCCACACCACCCACTGACACAGAGAGACACAATGAATGCTCATTGACATACGTCAGCATTTAACAATGAATCACGTTTATAAAAACAAAAGTTTCAGTTAACCCATCTCATGGCCGATATATCACTCAGCTAAGAGTGACAATTCATGCTCGACTCCTGGTCTGATGTTGATGAAGGCATATTTGAGCCTTGCTCATGGGGAAACAGGTCTAGATGATGCTGCACTCTTTCAATCAGTTTTTTTTTCTTTCTTTTTTCCCCTGTGATTTGAGTGCAAATCATGAGGCAAATGCTTTTATGCAAAGTGACTTTCAAAATACTTATCATAGGACAATCGTCCTGACACAACCTTTTGGATACCAGCTAAGACAAGCTGTAAGTATGGTGCAGTATAGGGGTGTGCCCCAAGCCGAATACCTTATTCAGAAAGGCACGGATAATGTTATTATACATAACCTCTAAAATCACTACGCAATAACAAGGTGTGTGAAGTGAATGAGTGTATGCACAGATGAAATAAGCGCAAATCAAATAGCCGCGTTGCTGTTGCCTCTCCGTATGTCTCTCAGAAATCCGAGCTTGGCAAGAGTACATCAACTAAAATACTACATCATACACATGTTCTACTATGTAATATGTATATTTAACTGTTTTAAATCTTGCGCGATATGATACACGAATGAATGAAATAAGCACAGCATGATTGCAAACAGCCGCGTTCTTTCAGAAACCAAACCAGCTCTAGCCTAATAATAAACTAAGATACATATACATGTTCTACTTTTGATATGTCATTTAAATGTTCTAAACTTGGTATGATAGGCTACATATTTCTCTGTCTCACTCTCTCTCGGAGATGGCATTTATGCAGGTATATAATTTCTTCAGATTTATATTTGTATGCACAGTAAAAAGTTGTTCTTTTTTATATGTTTCAACCTCCATATTCTTTAATCAGCTAGTTATAGAGTCAGCCTCCTTTTATTTGAGGTTGTGGTTTCACCTGACATTACTCAGTACACAGAGTTATAAATATTCCTCTTATTTGACTTTTATTACTACTGTTTTAATTAGGGTCACCTGAAGCCCAACCGCATTACACCTCAAAGGACTGTCTATACGAGGCTATCAGCTCCGACAGTTAGAAGATATTTAAATAAATGTTATAATCATAATGAAAAATATTATTTTATCAGTTATACAAGGCATATTTTTTTCAGTGATAACTACAAAGAAAAAAAAATATAGGCTGTAAATTCATTGAAATAATGGTTTTCCGTTTTCTCAAGTAATTGTGAACTTCTGGGTAAAGCCCCGCCCACGTTGGTTTTTATCTGGACACAGATCATTTTGAAATTGTTACAGATACAGATATCGACTCCTCTGCACACCCCTAGTGCAGTAACTCTTCTCTGACAGTAGATGGCACTAAAGATCTTTCTGGGACTCTTCCTGAGTCTTGATTAAATTGTTGATATAGTCTGAAACATTCAATATGTCCACATAGTGTACGCATGTCATGTTTCTCTCTCACAGATAAAGATGTATACCATTCAGCCACTTGGACGTTTACTCTCTCTTTCTTTTGATAAAAAAATGAATGCTGGTGTTGATCCAGGTGTCCAATCATCTCATGTTTTTATCTATGCTCCTCTCTCTCCTTGTATTCCCCGATGTCTGCCTCTCTTTACAGCAACCCCCCCCCCCCCCCCCCCCCCCCCCCCCCCC